CGGGGGTTTAAGTGGAGAGAAAATGTTTTGAGAATGATGTACAAATGCGCTTTACACAATTGATGTGTATATGGATTGTGATAAGAGTTGTATGAGTACCTAATAAAATGATTTAATAATAAAAAGAGAGAGAAAAAAAAGTTGTCAGATTCAGCAAATAAAAAACAAGACTACCAATTAAAATTTAGTTTCAACCAAGTATTTTTTATAACAGTTTATTGGCATATAATTCACATATCATACAATTCAATAGTTCAGCCACATTAAGAAGAGTTGTACAATCATCACAATCCATTTTAGAACATCTTCTCACTTGTACTCATTATTAGCTTCACATTCCCCTCAACCTCCCCTGCCATAACTCCAATAAACCACTAATCCAGTGATTGTCTCTATAGATTAATGACCCTAGATTTCATATACAGAAACACATTAAAAAAACAATAACAAAATAAAATGGAGAAAACCCTCAATCAAAAGGTAGCAGAAATATTAAAAACTAGAACAAATTTAAAATGGATCAAAATGGAGATCAAATGATAAGGTGTTAAAAGTTTAACTTAACAGGATCTGCAATAATCCACTATCCAATGTACTCCGCATGATACCAAAGCTATTCACATCCCTGGTCTATATTCATAGGGGATTCACCAGAGGCTTAAACAATAAGAAGCTTTTCAATGCAAGTGGATAAATCCTTTTTTTGGGCGGGGGGGGCTTTACATATAACAATCCATACTTCATTAAATCAAACGGACATGTACAATTGTTGGCATCAACAATTTCTAAACATTTTCTTTCTTCTTGAGCCCTTTGATATCAGATCCTCTCCCCACCCCTGCCACCACTGCAAACCCTTAATTTATTCTGGATTGCTATAATTATTCATATATATCTTACACAGCCTACTATCCCTTCACCTACTATGCTGGTATTCATCCCCCTTGAGGGGGGTTATTTTGCTATCCATTCTATTCAGGATTTTGTTGTTGATGATCTGAAATATAGATTTAACTTTGAGTCCTGTATTTTATCTGGAATCCCTATATCAGCTCAAAAATACTGTGTGAAGTGCATCCTGGTGATATTGTTAAGGGCCTTTGAGTTGGCTCCAACTCATAGTGATCCTGTGCACAACAGAAGGAAACACTGTTTAGTTCCATACCTTCGTCACAATTGTTGTCATGTGTGAACCTATTGTTACGGCCACTGTGTCATTCCATCTCATTGAGGAGCTACCTCTATTTTACAACCCTTCTACTGTATCAAGCAATTATGGTATCCTTTTCCAAGGTCTAATCTCTCTTGATAGCAAGTCTAAGATACATGAGATGAAGTCTCTCCATCCTGACTTCTAATCCTGGGGACAGTACTAGCTAATATTTAGTGAACGTATACTAAGTGCCAAGCACTTTTCTAAACACTATTAATGTCTCATTTAATCTCTTCAATTACAAGCCATTCATCTTTTGTTCTTTCATATTTAGATTATGTAATCACTCAAGTTATTTGTCAATTATCATGTTGTGCATACTTCCTATTAGATCCTAAACTTCTTGGGAATTGAAATGATATTTTGCTTATGTTTATGTTCTTTCCAAAACTGAGCCCAGTGCCAGGCACAGTGCTATTTCTTGACAACATAAACAAATGAAATCCCTGGATTGACTATGCAGGAGCAAGAAAATATGAGTGAGGTCCATAGCTATACAGATTTTTGTGAGCATTGCTATGAAGTTGATGTTCTGTCTCCCAGGGCGTATGTAACTTGCTAAAATGACTGAGCACCCACTTCAATATGCTTGTCCTACTAAAAGGCTTGCTCAAGAAATGTTCTTCTGATCATGCTCGCTCCTGATACAGCTGTCTGGGATTTCTACAGGGAGCTACAGTGCTTAGAGTGCAGCTTCCAGCATCACTCAGGTTCTGAGGGCAAGGATTTTACAGAAGGCTGGGCTACCCTCAGCCACCATGCCTGAACTGGCAAGAGAGAAGGCACACATAGAAAATTGTATTGTGTTGCTTGGTGCCATGTAGTCAACTCAGACTCTTAGCAATCCTACATACGACTTATCAAAACACTACCAGGTCCTGCACCATCCTCACGATTGTTCTTATGTAGGAGCTCATTGCTGAAACCACGGTTTCAATCCATCTTGTCAAGGACCCTCCTCCATTTTGATGTCCTTCTATTTAATCAAGCATGATGTCCTTCTCCAGGGACTGGTCTATCCTGACAACA